TGTTTTTCTGTCAATATGGGGTGCTGTGTGTACATTAATGAGGAAAAAATGAACTTAAATGATTTTAGCATATGGCTGCAATATAACAAAGAGTGAAAAATTTAAGGGGGTCTGAATACTTTCCGTACCCACTGTATGTAAACGGTAGTAAAAAACACAAATCTCAGGGGAAAAAAATTGGCAAACCAATTGGATACTCCAGATGTGGTATTCAAACTGTTCTAAAGAAATATGAAAAATCCAGAGAGGTCAAGGACAAAAACAGGAGTGGATGACCAAGAAAGCTGTCAAAATCCAAAGTTTCTTATTGTTTCTTCTTTGAGGGACCAGAGGAAATCCAGAAAGGACCTGGCTCAGCATCTGGCAGCTTCATCTGAATGCCAAGCTGATCCTTGCAAATTCTGAAGAAGCTTGAGCAGGAACGGCCTTTGTGGAAGGACAGCAGCCAAGAAACCACTTTTCAGAAGAGAATCGGGGAGAAAAGATTGAGATTGGAGTGAAGATCAGTGGAAAAGTGTTGTGGGGTAATGAATCAATTTGAAATGTTCAGGTCCAGTCATCAACACCATGCTAATGCTAGCATGACTGGTTCTTTACCATGAGCACACCATCCTTGTCCTGCTGCCAAAGGCTACTCGTTTGAGCGTTTCATGTGGATTTATCCAGAATGGTCTCCAACAAATGAGCCATTTCCTCCTGTTTGAGTAACATTTGCTAAAAGTACTGTGACCAGCTGTTTTAGGAATTTAATGATTTTTTTTTTTTAAACTGTTTTGAAAGACCACCACATTGTTGGTTTTGGTCTTTGTCAGGTTTTTATTGACAAAAATGTAGAATATTACAAGATTTATCCTTCAACATTACAAAAACATGACTGTCTTTGCTATGACTTTCAGCCATGACCCCTTTTTGCTGTGCTTCCATATTACCCAGCTATTTTTAAGGTTAAGTTATGAAAACAGATCTTTAAAAAAAAACACAAACCAAAACTACAATTTGGTGTAATTTGGGTTTTCATTTTTGTAAAGCAGTGTCTCTCCTTTCAGACTCTTGCTGTGTAGTATCAGGGGCTGACCCGGTCTTTGTTAAGGCTTCAGTCTGTGCAGTTTATTGCCTATAATACCTTCCATCTGGCTTTGCAGCGATGGTTTGCCAAAATGTCTTTCCCATTGCATATTCTCTTCCCTCTGTCATCCCTTTACCCCTCCAATTGCTTCCTAAACTGGCACAGGCAGTGTTGTAACAGTAACCCATTTTCAGTGATGGGAATGTGGGTCGGATTCATAGGCACTGTGCTCTTGTTACAGCCTCGCTGACAGCCAGATATATTGGGCCAAGTCTCCATATTTCACCCAGATTTTCACAGATTTATTGGACAGTTAGAGGCCATGCAGTATAGGGTGAATGAGGACGAGCGCCTGGATGTCTGGAGAGAGGTGAGAAGAAGGTGGAAAAACAGAGCTGGATTTCCTTTAAATATGAACCACTAGACACAAGGAGAAATGTCAGTGAAATCTTCCAAGTAGCGACCGAGTTGAGTGCAGTTTTTATGGAAGTCTTAATCACATTATTTCTGTGACCAGTTTGCAAATGTCTGCCCTCAGACATAATAATCTAAAATATTAGACTTATTACAAAAATGATTATAATCTTTTATAGATGCAACTGTTTGTAGATTCCTAAAAATGGAAGTATATTTGTTATAAGAAGTTAAACTCCCATTCCTATGTGCCTGAGAGACCGAGTGATGGTAGGTAAATGGCTGCTGTGTGTGTGTGTGTGTGTGTGTGTGTGTGTGTGTGTGTGTGTGTGTGTGCGCGGTTCACAGCAGCGATGGATGCTGAGAAATCTAGAAATAATTTGAGCCTGGTGATTATGAATATAAACAAGTTTTAAAAAAGTAAACAGACTAGTTGTTCAAGAGTGTAATAGCCCGGGGGAAGAAACTGTCCTCGTGCCTGGTTGTCTTGGTGCACAGTGACCTGTAGCACCATCCAGAGGGGAGGAGTTTGAAGAGTTTGAGTCCAGGGTGTAAGTGGTCCACAGAAATCCTCTCCACCCTCCTTTTGACCCGTGAGGTGTACAGGTCCTCCATGGAGGGCAGGCTGGCACCGATTATTTTCTCCGCAGTTCTGACTGTTCACCGGAGTCTGTTCCTGTCCTGTTTGGTTGCTGAGCCAAACCAGACGGCGATGGAGGTGCAGAGAACAGACTCGATGATTCCTCTGTAGAACTGTATCAGAAGCTCCTGAGGCAGGGTGAACTTCCTGAGCTGATGCAGGAAGTACATCCTCTACCACGCCTTTTTAATGATGGCGCTGATGTTGGTTGTCCACTTCAAGTACCTCGAGATTGTGGAGCCCAGGAACTTGTAGGACTCCATAACTGAAACAGGGCTGCTGAATATAGTGAGTGGAGATAGGGTGGGGGAGCTCCTCCTAAAATCCACTATCATCTCCACTGTCTTTCATGTGTTCAGCTCCAGGTTGTTATGATCACACCACAGGACCAGCTGTTCAACCTCCCACCTGTAGGCCGACTCGTCACCATCTTGAATGAGGCCGATGACTGTTGTCGTCAGCAAACTTCAGGATTTTTTTACAGAGGGGTCTCCTCGGGTGCAGTCATTGGTATAGAGGGAGAACAACAGTGGGAGAGCGCACATCCCTCGGGGAGCACGTGTGCTGATAGACCAGGTCTCTGTATATTTTTGTCCTGCCCATTGACATACATGAGAGGGTCAGAATATTAGGAACACCTCTGAATATAATGTAGTCCAGTACAACACCACCTCTAACTATGACCTCAATAATGAACTTATAATAAAATTTATACATTTATGACAATCTCACCAAAAACTGAAACATTTTGCGCTTCATAAACACAAATGTTAAGGCAGAAGTGTTGCACTGACGTGCATACAGATGTACAGATGGTCATAATGTTATGCCTGATCAGTGTATGTACAAGTTACCAAAGCATAGTCCAACAATTCTCAGTTTCTGTTGAGGCACACAGAATATATTAACATAAAGAAGCTAAGAAAAATATAAAGATACTGTATTTTTCCTATTATTGAAATAATGTTGGGGTTTTTGTGTGGTGTTTTTTGTTGTTGTTGTTGTTTTTTTTGTGTGGTGTTTTTTTGTTGTTGTTGTTTTATAAATATGTAGGGATTTGGATCTGAGAAATAACTTTTGTCAGACAGCGGGGGCTAGAAAGCACGAGACATGACTGTGTTCTTGGGTCCCTCTTTTTCTTGTGCTCAGAGTCTGAGGTTGTGACTGTACTGGTTCTGAGGGTGTAATCCTCCAGATTTGAGCCCCCCCATCCTGATCATGATCATCTGGGCCAGCTTAGCCACGGAGGTCTGTGGTTCTTATAGCATCTGTCACCACTTATTCACGTCGAGCTCATCCCCAAAGCAAATCTGGATACACACTGAACTTGTAACTTGTAAATCTAAAATGCATCTCATATGGAACAGCTTCACCTGCGCTACTCGTATCCTGCTTGTCCTCTGGGTTGCTGTCTCTGTGTAGATTTGCATTGTGAGTCTTGTGTTTTCTGTTTACAGATCCGGCATCATGGGAAAAGGCTGCATAACAGCGACCAAGTACTTCCTGTTTCTCTTCAACCTCATCTTCTTTGTGAGTGTCTTAGTCTTGATTCGTTTTGTTCTATACAAGTTGAACTGAAAGTAAAAAGCATTTTCATTATTCATATCTGTTCTGTAAATCACTTGTCCTGTGTTTGCCATCGAAAAAATTAAGATAAATTTATGTATTTGTTTTTATCATTCTGCCCATCTAGTTTTGCATTAACCTGGTCAACCTGATTTCCAAACTTTTTATTTTGTTGCATAGTCTCACATAAGGAACTGCTAACAATTCAACATTTAAATTTTATTTTGTGTCCCTCAAACCAAAATGTTTTTCTCTGTTCCTTTTATTTACTGCTATCCTCATTAGCAGTGCAGACTTCATACTTCAGACGGCAGCTTGACACACGACACAGGAGTCAGACTTTGAGCAGCTACTTTAGGTTTCCTGCTAAAGTCTCCATCTCAAACGCACGTGAATATGTGTTGCTCTTCACCTTAGCTTGTTGAACAAGTGACCTAACAAACATTACTTGAGGCAAAGTTATCTGCCTGCTGTTTGCAGACTAAAGAGCTAATTACTGTAGCTGCTCAGTTGTAGCACATTAAACAGCATGTGATGTGATACTCCTCATTTACTGTACAGTGCCTTATATTTATTTAACATGCTCGATTATGTGTAAGTTCGGATGTGAAAATGGACCGACTTTATATAGTGCCCTCAGAACTTCCACAATGAAATAAGAAATGTTTACTTTCTACCTAATATCCCACAATGCAATTGCCATTGTGGCATAATGGTGCTAAACAGGGCAACAGTTACAACTTGAGAATGATCTCAGGACAGTTTAGGAGTTTGGCAGTTTGAGAAACTTGAAGTGAGCGCTTCACATTGTCACAATTTATAGTCAAACAACTTTTATAGGCTTAAAGAGTAGGCTTAAAGGATAAGACCACTGATTTTCTATGTACTTATCTTCCCCAAATCCAATACCGGAACTGAAAACAACAATGAATTTTGTGTTCTCGCTATAATATGTGCAAGTCAATATCTGGTTTAGTTTATTTGTGTGTGCCATAGACCTCTTTTGTTGTCTGAAAACTGTTAAAAGTACACCAGTGAGTCGCACCACCTCACGTTTCTCATGAGGAAGAAATGCATCAACGACTCTTGTTGGGTTTGTGTGCTTGCTGCAGGCCAGTGGACAAACACAAGACAACATTGCTGTCTGGACTCGGCCAATGATTGTACATGATGGTTTAAAAAAAAAAAAACCTCGTTCTGTAACACCACTGAATAATCAGTGGACTGAGTGGTTTTATAGTTCTGACAGAGTGGGACGTCTTCTAGTAAAACCATCAGTTGACCTCGCATCAATTACAGGACTCTTCAGCATCTCCCAATTAAAATTGTATTCATGTTGTGTCAACAAATCAAGCAGATCATCTTTGAGTTACTCAAGAGGGCTGAAAGAACTCGGATTTAAAATGTAAAATCAGTTCTCAATTCGGGTCAGACGGGGACACCAGGGCCCCAAAAAACAAATGTCATCCTTGAGCCCTGCCCTCATTTTAATAACTTGTTCTCTCAACAACTGCTTTGTCTTAAGCTATGCTGGTGTCTTGTAGTATTTCTAAGGGGTCTGTGTGGCTTATTTACTTTATTTGTGTTGTGGAAAAATGTTGCCACCTTTTTGGACCGTTAAAGGTTTTCACCACTGTGAATGAAAGGCCTCAAAGACAGTAAAACAACCCTGTGTCCGCAACAAATGTAGCATCTGTTACAGTATGTTGAAATGTGCTCTCAGTCACACACACACACACACACACACACACACACACACACACACACACACACAGCATGCCGGAGTTCTTCTTTTTTTTTTGTGTGTGTGTGTGTGTGTGTGTGTGCTTCTCCTCCAGCTGTTTGGGGTCGTCATCATGGGATTTGGATTGTGGCTCCTCCTTGACAGTCAGAGCTTCATCGTCGTCCTAAGTAAGTGCCTGCATCAGATTTAATGTAATTTCCCTTCAGTGGAATTGGAAGATAGACTGAATTACTCTGTGTTAAACTGATAATTGGCTCAAAATTTAATTTTCCTGAGTTTATTATTGATAGGTGGCATACAGTGTAATCCCCTTTGGTAATTAATTTTTATCATCCGTTCCTTTTTTTTTTTCCATGCATGTTCTGAAATGTGTTGTAAAAGGCAGATTGTGGCACAGACATGTAAAAGGGCCCTCACCCTGTTGTCAGAGCAAAAAGACTTGGAGAGAAAATGCTGATTAATGATTTGAATGCATACGTCTGTGGCCTCACTTTAAATTCCTCTCCCGGTTGAATTTTAGTGCAATGACCACTAAAGCATAAACAAAAGAAGCAGCCAATACCCCCCCAACCCCCTCCCTCGATTGTACACTAATCCACTTGTACAGCTGATGTAGGTCAAAACAAATGGAGCCGTGTTTAACAGGCTGAAAACAGGCCAAGATCTGGCTGCAGGCTGCAAATGTGTGTGTTGTCTCTCATTTGTGTCTTTGAGGGCATCTATGTTTGACTGTGAGGGATAAGAAATTAAGAAGAAGCAGGTGGCACACATTGGGCACCTCAAAGATTTTATTAGTTTGAACTGTGTAGAAGGATATGGGTTGGGGTACTGCTCCACAAAACCAAAATACAATACAATTGTATGAACACTCCTGGGTAGATTACATGCATATTCTTTATTTCACAAAAACAAAGAAGTCAATGCAACTCCTGGTGCAAACAGGTACTAAAAATGAGCCTGCCTTCAAATGTTATAAAAATAGAGGCATTAGGGGGTAATATGTTGGTTTTTTTTTTTTTTTCTTCCCAAGTCAAGAGGATGGTTTAAAAATGTTAGTAAAGCTGAAGAGGACATTTTTAAGAACCACAATGTTCAGCCACCCTCCCTACCTCACAAATATTTCTGCAGTCCTTATAGCATCTGTATTAAGTGATAGATTTGGGTGTTTGGCTTCCAATGCGCTCAGCTGGATATAACAGACGCTCCTTCATTCTGTTGAACAGTCTCAGGGACTCTGGTGAAGGCCATAGGCCAACATGTGGTGGTGGTGGTGGTACCATCAAAGTGAGGACTGAGACCTGTTTAGATCTAATGTGTTTTCCACCATATGAGACTGTTCAGTTGAACATGTGTCCAACAGATTTCCTCTTTTTTTTTTTTTTGTCTCTCTGTTGGGGGAAAAAAAATTAGTTTAAGCTGCACTGCCACTCAATCTTTCATTTTCTTTGTCTGCTGCTGTCTTTTTTTTTACTTTTACATATCTTTCTCATCATGGCTTCACTTAGTGTTATTCTCATTCAGTCAGATTTGGCTCATCAGTCTGTTGCTTGTATGACTGAAAGAGAACAGTTCAGCATTGTTGGAAATGTACTGATTAGCTTTTTTGCCAACAGAGATATAATGTTCATGAATGTGCAGTAACTATGGAACTGGAGACAGGAGGTTATTAGTTGAGGGTAGCCTTAAAAAAAGACAACTCAAGGCAGGGGAAAACCCGCTAGCCTACCTCTGTCCAAGTGAAAAAATACACATAAGGCTCAATAATTAAAAGCTGTGCAGTTGTAGCTTAGCAACCATAACCATTCTGAGGGTCATGTCATTTTTATTTCTCTCTCCAAAACCAATTAGAATCACTGTTTCACAGTTGTATATGTCTTCCAACTAGTCAGATTCACAGGTATGGGAATATGGGAGGTATTAAAAATTCCCTCAAGGTGTTCTTGACATATTGTGTTCCCAAGAACGGGCCGTACAAACAGACAACCCAAAAACAAAATGCCTCTGGCCACGGCTATCGCCGGTGCAGAGGCATAAGCATGCCTGAGCAAAAGTGTCACAATTAAATTAAATGCTTTTGGCGCTAACCTAAACTACAAATGATAGCAGGTCTGATTTTGCTCCTTACTGACTCTCTAAGTTCCAGTTCCAAAAGGTATCGGCTATCACATCACCACGTTTTGGTACTTATAGGGTTGCAGATGACGGTAGGGTTACATATTAATTGTAAATCTGCCACATTATCATTTTAACTGGGGGCCGGCATAAAGACTGAAAACCTATGAGGAAATCAACATGACATGATGTTTTGTGCCCAAAACTGCACAAATTGTAAAAGCAATGAATGGAAATTGTTCATTACCTCAAGAGTGTAATGGTTACGAGTTCCATTGATTTGGTCAGAGTCATGGATTTTATGAAGATGGTGGATGTTAACACTGTTACTGTGTGTTCATGGCTGTTTAGTGAATATTGCTAACATTTGGCAGACTGTTTTTGGCTGCCGTTCATTGTGGGGATCACTGACAGCTGATGGAGCAACACATCGACCTTGGATGGAAAATGTTACATTGTTTATGCTTATAACTTTCCAAAGACATAAATTTAAGATGCCCTGCGATGGACTGGCGACCTGTCCAGGGTGTACCCCGCCTCTCGCCCGCAGCTGGCTGGGGTTGGCTCCAGCCCCCCGCGACCCCGTTTGGGACTAAGCGGTTTAGAAAATGGATGGATGGATAAATTTAAGACAGGTGTACAGATTTTTAGTGATGCTGTGTAGCTGATGAACACTATTGTTTAAATCCAGCATTGACAGATAATGTGAAGTGAAGCTTTGCCTTCTTTCACAGCAGCATCTGAATCTTTGTAATAATGTAGCACATCTGGCATATACATTATGTGCTGTCTGAGAAATTGTGAGGAAAGAAAGTTTGATACATGCTGATGTTATAATTACAATAACCAGAAAGAACATGTTTGTTCAGGTAAATGACATGATGTTTTTATGCAAACATTGTGTGAGGTGGTATCTGTGCTGTCGGCTGTTTTTGGATACTCACAGGCCATTTCTCGCTGCTTGTACTTTCTTTAACACTTTGAAAAAGTGCTCCCCACTGATTGATTGTAAATAGGAAATGGTATGGGCATGTTATTCACTATGAAAGTATGAATTGTTTCTTTGTGTTTCCGTTTGTATAAATTAAAAGTTGTTGTTGTTGTTGTTGTTGAGCTTCAGAGCCAGTGGTATGGTAAAATTTTAAACTAAAACCAGTCGGTCTGTTTTCCCCCGTGACTCCAGACATTGACTTTATGTTAAATCACCCCAGATATCTCCTTAATCTAACTATTTTGAAGAAGGCAGGTAAGTGTATTTCAGATGTGGAACTAAACCCCAGCTCTGGCTGAACGGGTAAGAGTTTCAGAGTGAGAAAATGACAGGATGAAGGAAAAGAGGCGAGCAGTGTCAGCGAGACAGTAGGGCACAGAGACAACTAAAGAAGGGCTGTTGCAGAAATATAGACGGACATTGAGCGAGTGTAATAGACACCCAGTGAGAGAGACGTGTTTGTGTGTGTGGTCATTCTCAGAAGAGCAAGCATCACTGAGGACATTTGTCCATCGTCTGTGGTCACTCTGCAGGTGTCCTCCCCTCAGACACTGGGCTCATTCTGCTCTGTCCAGCATCAGCATGCATCACATCAGCCCAGTACACTCAGCGCCTTACTCATCACACACATGCTCACACTATAAGACTGATCTATCTGGGCAGATAGCATGAGTCCAGGGGATTTCACTGGGAATGCGGCCATACGACACACGTCACATGGAGCAGAGCGTTAAAGTACAGTGGACAGTTTAGCTTTGTGTCTGCTCATAAATGAGGTGTATTGATGCTCAATGGAACATTTTATAAACCGAGCCAGTGGCCTGTTATGGGCTCACAGATGATCACAGTGGTTTTTGAGGGTGAATCAATGAGCTGCCTGGTGCAGCATGTGAGAGATGAAATCAGCCTGGTGCTGCTGTAAGCTGTTGTATAAAGGCTGTGCTGAGTCACACACAACGAAACCGAAACAAGACCTAGTTCACATCTGAGAACAGGGAACATAGGGACTTTGCTTTTAAAAAAAAAAAAGAAAAATCAGCTGATGTGTCAGCAGGCTGCTTTTCAGCACTTTTTGTAACCTGAGCAATCTAACTAAATAATAATAATAATAATAATAATAGACTTTAGGTTTTCTGTTTCTACTTTGTGTGTTATCACAGGGCCTGCCAGTCCCCCACCAAATCCTAACCATGCTGTTAGACTCTCTGGAATTGCATGTAATTTGATGAAAGGTTGTTGACAGAAGTTGTTTAGTTTAGAACTGTCAGGATTAAATAGTGTGCTCCGCTCTGATGAGAGGACTTCAGAACTCAGTCAGCACATGGATCAAGTCCTGAGGGGCTCTTCACAGTCGGGGTCAACTGAGGACGTTTTCCTTTGGCAAAAAATGTCAGGATCAGATGTTGATTTAACCCCTTTTTAGCTTAATCCAAAAACACCAGTGTTTGCAGATGGCCACAAACACCAGAATGAATGTAAGTTTCTCCAAGATTTTCCCATGGAGCTATGTGTCTGACACAGCTGCCGTCGCCTGCTGCATGTTTTTCACCTGTCACTGAGGAGCTTCAGTGGAGCTGGATAGAAAGAAAATTTTATTTCAGTATATTTCCTTTCTTAAAGACAGCTGAAAGTACAAAACAAAAATGTTGTGTTGTAAAAACACTTGAAAATAGAAGGGAAGTAAGAAACGGTTTAAAATGAAGTAAGACCCTGTACAAAATAGAAACAGTAGCAGCTGAAAAGACCATAGGATTATCATCAGATTTCATTCAGGTTCAAAATCAAGTCAGAAGTGTCATTTGAGCCCAGATGTATTTGAATTTTTTGTTTTGCAGAATTTCTACATATGTGTGTCTTTTTATAGCCAAACTAACATCATACTGATGTGACAGCATATTGTTTTTATCTCATCTCTACAGGTAATTCCACACCTGTTAAGGTAGCCTGCTACATCCTGATCGGAGTCGGAGCTTTCTCCATGCTCATGGGCTTCCTCGGCTGCTTGGGGGCCATTTATGAGATCCGCTGCCTGCTTGGCCTGGTGAGTGACACTACTATATACATGGAATAATTATTTAGACATCATGTTCAAACATGCAGGCATGGTCTGAGTGGAGGATTTACTGTTGACACTTAATAGTTTGCCTTAGAGGAGGGGTGACCAGCTTCTGACTGGCTGAACACACCTGAGCCAGGTAATCATCAGCAGGTCGGGCAGGGATAGTTGGAAAACAAGCAGGACAGCGGCCCTCGAGGACTGGAATTGGCCACTCCTGCCTTAGAGTATATAATGACTACATAGAGGACACTTGTGTTGAACTTCTTACCATTATATATGCATTATCTATATACCATGGTCACCCGGGGCGACTGTGGTTCAGTGGGTAGAGCAGTCGTCTCCCAAACCAGAGGATCAGAGGTCTGAATCTCGGTGCCTGCAGTCCACGTGTTGAAGTGTCCTTGGGCAAGACACTGAAACCTAATTTGGTATAATACTTGCTACTGTATTTTTGTGTTTTGATGATGGAAAGCAGTTTTGTACAACTGGCTTAAACATGCCAGCTGTGCTGCGATGTTAGCCTGCACATAGGTTTGCTAATGGTTGTGACACAGTTTTTAAATCTGCCTTTCTTCATCTGTTGTTCCTCCTCCTCAGTATTTCACCTGCCTCCTGCTAATCCTCGCGGCTCAGATAACAGCAGGTGTTCTCATCTACTACCAGAAGGACGTGGTAAGTGATGTCACTAACTCTTTTTGTCCTCCATCATACATGAGCAACCCCACCAACATTAATGAATGCAAATGTTTACAGGTGACTGTAACAAAGGGAATGTGGAGGTCTGCAGTGCACCTGTTACTAATACACTGACATCTCCTGAGTGGGTGGTGTTCATATGTTGTAATGCCATCATATCTGGCTGTGACAGGAAAACAACACGTGCTATGAATAGAAACTAGTTCTACCCTTGCTGGGGTAGATGACGACGACAAGTATACCATTGAGAGTGCAGTGTCTGAGGAGGCTCCATACGGTCCATGAATCACCAGCCAACTGAAATTCAAACCGACAGCCCCTGGTGCTGCAGCGCCCTCAGATGATTAGTCTGAGGCCTTTTCCACATTAACAGCAAGAGCAGCAGCAGGTCATGCAAAATGACTGTGCTGTTTCAGTGTTAGAAACGTTCTGTAAGTTTTGATTTTGGTGTGGGGCTTTCCAGTTTTTAAACAGCTATTTTCCAAGTCAGCAATTCCTATCTCTTATTAGTATCATATTCAGCTTCCCTGGTGTAGATTGTGTGAAGTAGGACAAGTTTCCTGTGAGCAGAGAGGAGAACAATCTGCTTTACTTTATCTTTTGTTTTGTTTCACTAAAAGGCGCAAAGTGCATTTTTATCTTACAATTTTATCTTTATTCTCCTGTTGTCTTCAAATATGGATGTGCAGCATTGAACTTTTTCAGAAAAGCCTAAACTATTTGAATTTTCAGGAATTATGGCTGATTATATGCAGAGTTTTTACATTTTATTTGAATTCTGAAGGTGTCAAATATATTTGGTTTTTTTTACAGAATTATAACAAAGTGAAACAAACATTTACCAAAAGTAACTTTGAGGGTTTACCTAAGTTAACTTCTCAGAATTCTGAATCTTGACTCTGAATAGTTTGCAAATGCACCACAGGAAGCTATTTGAAGCCTTACAGCCTCTTCTCCCATTAAATCAAATGGGGAAACAAATAAACTTTATTGTGCATGTCGCTTGGATTATGAACTTTGGATTACAGCCAAGAGTGAATGCTTAATTTACGTGAAAGAATCAAGCATTTTGATTTGTTGAATAAAAGCAAGATGCACCAGGTGCTTTTTGTTCAAGTCTCACTGGGCAGAACACCAGCTTCAACTTTGATTGAGAGGTTTAATTATTAAAGTAATCCAGTTTTAACTGTGTATATTTGGTGTCTCGGGCTGTGTAAATTGGTGTGGGTTGTTTCTTTTCATTTCAAATAGATTTTCTTGGTAAAATAGTACATTTCTACAAATGATCTATAGACACTCAAAAGATCGCTCATTTACAAATGTAGAGGCAGCGAAGCACTCCCACAGCATGATGCTGCCACCACCATGATTCACCGCATGGATGGCATTAGTCAGGTGGTAGGCTAGAAAATGAGTAAAATGTATGAGACAAAAAACTTGTAAAAACAGTTTTGAGTTTGCAGATTGCAGAACATAAAACATGACAAACAAAAGGTTCTTTGCTTCCCACATTATGGGTACATGTAACCGTGTCTTTAACTGAAAATGCAGCTGTTTTGTGTGTCCTCCACACCCTGACTGTACTACTGCTTGTTATGCTCATAGAAAATCAGTGTTGCTGTAAAATGTAACTGAAAACCAGGAGACCCAAGCCAGCTGGACGGTGACACAGTTTATCCAGCAGACCTTCGAGCAAAACAGTGCAGATTTACATCAGTTGTTTTGTATGGGTTCATTGATACTCGTGTGTTTTTTTTCATGTGTATTTGCCACAAGAAAAGAACACTACAATGCTGAGATTTGCTTTTCCTAGCTAGCAACACACATCTGTATGCATTTGTTTCCAAAGCTTGCCAAGAACCAGCAGTTTCACTTGTTTTCCACCAGACTGTCAGTTTTAGCCCCACAGTTAAGGGATAGATGGTTTGGTTTTGTTCCATCACAAAACAAGCTACATAAAACACATCAGCATCTTCACAAAGAACAAAAGCAAAACAACAGAAACACAATACAAACTCTAAACAGCATGAAACATAAAAAGGCTGTTTTTGCTTGAGTTTGGGCAGAAACATTGAGCCGGCCACAGCAAATATGCTGTTTTCAGATTCTTGAGACTGTATTTTCATCGCTTGTTTTTTTTTATCACTGTTTTCTTTCAGTTAAATGAGGAGATGTCCAAGATCGTCACCAAGGTACTCGACAACTACCCTGGCAACAACTCAACCACAGAGCAGGCCTGGGACTTCATCCAGAGGAATGTGAGTGAGATCAGAGTCATGTTCTTTAAGGCTTAGTAGTTTTGACCAAAGCTCAAACAGCTTTTTATGTAACTACAACAAATACATGAACGTGTGACTAACACTGAAATGTTGCTGCCAACTGCCAAAGTCTGGTTCACCTTTATGATTGACCACTAAGTCTTTTTCCACTCGGCTGTGACCTGTTCAGTACGGTGCCAATGAACATGTCTGAATAGTTTTGTAAAATCAACCATTTTTTCCTCTCCTTGCAGCAATCTGGTTTATTCTACCTTGTTTCAAGATGCTGATGCTCATTTACAGAACTTGTAGTAGAAAAACCTAGATCTTCTGTGGATGTAGTCTCAGCCTCAGTGTCTCCTGTTTGGTCATGTAAACCCAGACTGACTCCGTGGCGTTGAGATCAGGACTCTGTGGGGGTCACACCATCTGTAACAGGACTCCTCCTCCTTCTCATCTATAAAGACAGTTCTTTGGGAATGGGGCTGCTGTTGTGCTACAGAATGAGGCTGGGACAGATCAAACACCTCCCTGATAGGACTGCATGATGAATTAGCATGCAGTCATCTCAAGTGCTAGAAAGGTTTGCACAGTACTGTGCACATTTCATGTGATAAAGAAGCTTCCTGTCAAGCTCTCCATCTGATGCAAAGGGCAAAGTCCAGATTTTCATTTTCATTTTCACACTGACTGAGGCATAGTCTGGCAGGATGTGCTCATTCCCGTCTGGAGAGCAAATAAAACTGAAAATCCTTTAATAGCAGTCATTCCTGGACTGGTGCCAACAGTCACTGTCCATTTTCTTCTCGTTTACCAGACTGCTGATTGTCACTGTTCAGGTCTGTGGTCTTGTCTGTCTGTAGATGAAGTGCTGTGGCTGGAGCGGTCGTCTGGACTGGACTGATAACATGGTCATTGTCAACAGCTCCCAGCTGCTGTTTCCCTGCTCCTGCCATAACACCTCTCTCGCCAATGGAAACTTCTCCGACAGTGGATTCTGTGAGGCGCACACACCCGACTGGCCCGTATACGATGGGGTAAACGATGTTTTCTGTTCCTCTCACCCGTTTCCACTTTCTTGGCTGTGCTCTTCTTTCATGTGTTCCATGCTGGTGGATTAATCTGCCTTTGTTGTAACTAGGGTTGTGCTGACAGTGTGGAGAACTGGATCCTCACCAACATCGGGGTCGTCCTGGGTATCTGCCTCGGAGTGGCTCTTGTTGAGGTACGGCCTCATCTTCATTCATTACTATGAAGGTTCTAATGCATGATGCGCTCTTGTAACTGTGCTGATAAACAACACTTAAAGTCAGGGTGAAATGACACTTAGAGCATTTTTACAAGGGGTGAAATGGCCTTTTTTATGTTTGTTTGAACCTAAAAACTAAACCCTTCTCAGCTTCACTTCTGTAGTTGCTGCGCTATGTGTTGGTGTCCACCCACACCTCCCTCACCTGTGTTTTTCCATATGATACAGAAACACAGCGCTAAAGATACTGCTTTGTGAGACAGCCAATGAGCTCAGGTGGAGTTTTGTGTGAGGCACAGGGTCCCAAGTTCGCACAAATTTTAATGTTTCACAGGAGGAGGACAGAGAGGGATTCTACAACCTCAAGTGCTTTTACATATACTGTTTCTGACAAATCAAAAGTGACATTTGATATACCAAAGTTAGCAGAACATGGTGAATATGGTGTTTTGTTTTTTTAACGCTGTCTTTAACCTTCAACCTTACTAAATCCTCTGGGTTGTGCTGTGTTTCCACTCTAAAACCTGATTCTTTCAGTTATGAGGTTTGGAGACACCTAGTCAGGTCTTGGACTCAGTTAAAGTTTAAGGCCCACATCAAATCAGTTATAGCCTCTCCATTCTGCCGTCATAAAAACATGCCAACAATTTTGATCATGATTCATGTCCACACAAAGAATTTTCCTGCAGGGTAGATTACTGTAGTGGATTCTTTCTCCAATTTTGTTTTTCAACTTCAGCTCATTCAGAAACCTGCTGCCAGAAAAATAACAAAGACCAAGAAAAGAGGCCACAACACACCAGTTGTCAGATCTGACTTCGAGTGTAAAGCGCTGCTGCTTGTCGATAAATCTCTGTGGATTGGGACCAAAACATTGTGCATCTCTGACTGTCTTGTAACAGATGAACCCTCCTGGGTTCTCTCAGGTCATCAGGTAGAGGACTAGAAACAGTGCACAAACTAAACATGGAGAAACAGCATTTACAGTAATGCCCTGCCTATTTTGAAAAATTTAAGCATTGCATTCTGTTCACTCGATTTTTGCAAATTGGTTCTCTTAAATAAGTGATTTTAAAATGGCATATTCCATGAAACAAAAGCAGCTAGAAGAGAAAAGACAAACATTCCCCTTGCATCATTATTCAGCTAGATAAAACACAAGGTGTTATTATGCTAGAAGAGCACAGGGCAACAGTGCTGCAGTTCTGACTAGAGCACCTTCAGACATCAGTGGCAAATGAACTTACCAAAGCCAGCTTTCTAATCATTTTTGAGATTAAACTTTACTGATGTCTGCATTCTAGTGGATTTTATCAAAGGTTTATGGTCTTTTAAAGAAGTGACTGCTAAGATTTTGATTTTTGCTGTGCCAAAAAACACTTTGATGGACATATTCTGTAATAGTATATGCCAGTAATAAGACTATATGAGATTCAGAACATGATGTCAGTTGCTCTATTGTTAATATTTATTTGTTTATTGAAAGTAATATGTAAGTGCTGTCTATGTGTGTTATTGTTTTTGTAGTTGCTTATTGCAGACAGGAAAAGTTGCCATGAGGTGTTTCCTCGTTTTTCGACATCGCTATGAGAACAACTGAAAATTACAGAAAATGTATGGCCTAATTTCGTTTGTTCAGTGCCTCTCTGAAAATGTTCAACAGTAAAAAGCATAAGCAGCCCAAGTGATTTGTGAATGTTTCAGTGTTTTAGGATCTAAACATCTTTTCCATTAGTAATCAAAACAAATTTTGCAGAAGTTAAACTTTTTACAAAATTAGAAGCGTTGAACTGCTTCTCAGTTTGACACAACTGGGAGGCCAGTTGAGTCCTCAGATCTGTGGTCAGTCCCTGACAGGGCTGCTTGACGTGATCTTGGGACAAAAATCACAGAATTTGTTCTCTTTAACCTTCCTGTTCCAACAGCTTCTGGCGAGTTAACATTAAAATGTCCCCCCTCACTTCTGGTTTCAAGATGCCATTGATTTTCATTTTAATGTCTTTATGCTGTTACAGATTTTAAGCTGTTCATTATTTTGTTTTTGTGGCATTATAATTGCTCACGTGTATAAAATGTGCTAAATAAACGTGCATTGCTTTACCATTCTAGATATGCATGTGGTCACAGGGAAATGAAGTGTTCTAGCCAAAATTTACATCATTGTTGGCATAAGATAATATTGTTGTGCACACCAAATTTGGACTATGCAGTACAACACAGTACTTGCATTTCACTGGAACTATGAGTATGTGACAAATATGTCTGAGTCTTTTGAGCATATATAACATCTGATCTCTCTGTTTGTTTGATTTACAGCTGCTGGGCATGATCTTGTCTCTCTGTCTGTGCAAGAACATTCATGTGGAGGAGTACACCAAAGTGCCCAAGTACTAAAGATTAATGAAGTTGCATGGTTGCACTGCAGATGCACAGAAAAAAGAGGGAGTAAAAATACTGCATTATTTCTACCCTGTATTTGGTGAAACATTAGGCCCAAATGTAAAATAATGTTTGCGTTAAGTTTTATTGGATTTTTTATTTTTATTATTTCTTTTGAGGCACTAGTAAATCCAGTTTCTTTGGAGCACTTTAGAGACTTAGTTTTGAACTTTGGATCAGAGAGTGATGCTGAAAATGTTTGTGGAGAATTAGATTAGAGGGACCTGAGGGAAAGTAGCTGGTAAAGTAATGAGGAGAAGGTTTGTTCCCTGCCCAGACACGCTCTCAGGCTCAGATGACGATGTTGCTGGAATCCATAATGTCTGATTATCTGTAACTGATCACTTCATGGTTTGTTTCCCAGAAAAATCTGAAGAGAAATTTTGTCTGTAAAGGCAGAAGTAAAGCAAAAAATTTTTTGTTGTTGTTGTTTTTTATTTTGTTTTTTTGATTTGTTTTTTGAGATTTTGACAACTGGTGTGTGTGTTTACCAATGTTTTTGTGAAATGTTTTTAGTACTTGTGTATATATAATTTTAGTCGCATGTGAATATGAATCCAAAAATACTGCCAATGTTTTCTTTAGCAGCTGGTTTCTTTTTGAGTTTTATCATTTTTCTTAATTTTGAATAGTCAGGTTTTTGAAATAATGAGGGGAACATTTATGATACTTTCAAAAAAGTATCACTCCCAGTTTACAGTTGTCTTTAAACAAGCAAAAAAAAAATTTTTTTTAAGATAGCTTTAAGTTTCTGTACAAGCCCATGTTCTACTGAACAAGTGTTTGAAGAGTGTTTCTTTACACACTCTTGGAGGAAGTGAAAATGTAAAATTGACATTATTTTGGATCAGAGAAATATTTTGTGGGTAGATTCATCTTGAAAATTTGTATACACAGACAAAACTTTCATTCAGTTTATTTATGTACTATATGAATTTTGAGCCAAGATATTGTTTTTATAATGTACAAATTCACCATCCTGTTTTCTTTTTATGTACAGTCTGAGTAACAAACCTTCCATTAACCTTATAATGATTTCTAAGGAAAAAAGGGAACATCTGTTTGTGACAAGATGGACCTCTGGTACTATAGCTAGCTGGATTAGTAAGTGTGTACTCGCAACATTTATTCATTTCATTTAGCCAATAAACTGATTACAGTAGTTTGTCTGATTTAATCTGTTACATGCGTTACATGTAGTCTAACGGCACAGTTCAAACAAATCATTACTGATGTGAAAGATGTCACCCAAGGTCCAAGTGAATAATTCTCATGGTTCCGCTTGAGAGAGAGAGAAATGACTACACACAAACATTACAGAGTTCAAATTTGTGTTCTGAACACAGGTCACTCGTACCTGTCAAACAAATATTGTGCATTTTCCAGGGGGGGGCACGATTAAAACTTGAAAACATGCACACAGACACAGATATCGGCTATAAACTAAAGTGTAATTGGAATATTCAGTGCCTGCAGAATGGCATTAGCTATAACCTTCCTGTGGTGAAAGTTGGTGGCTTTTTACAGTATTGTTGCCCATTGTGTGCTATGGTTAGTTTAGTCTTTGTAGATATTGTGGCACTAATGGTGCCACAATATCATTTTGGAGGACTCTTAGCTAAAAGGGCTGGTACTTAACTAAGTGGAAGACCTCTCCAGAGTTTTTCCACAATGAATAATAAAGTAAGATTGCTCAATGAGTCCAGTAATAACCACTTTTAAGTACAGACAAGAGGTCCCTAAAGTGTACCAGAAATGTAACTGTTTACCATAACAGACAAGTTTTAATTCTAACCTCTGTTTTTATAACGACTAGGGTGTGCTGATAAAGATCGTGTGATATGATCATAAGCTACGGTTACTAAACAATACTTAGTTGTGAATGAATAAATACCTAAAGAATGCAGAGCAATGTAAAGCTGCAGCCAGCCTGTACACATACTGTAGTTCTTATTCAAACCAACAGAGGGCAATGTCACTCTTTATAAAAACATCAGTAACAGATGCTTTTATTCTGAAAGCATCCAAAGGTTATAGAAAGACCTATATGAAGAAGGCTTTATTGGTGATAAAGTTTGTGATATGAATAATGAGTAATTTTTAAATATTTATTTAGTATTTAACATGCATAATGTTTTAGATGTGCAATCTTTATAATTCTAGTTAAATATCAACATGGTTGACAAACCAGATGCTGTAGAAAGAGTGAACAATGTTTTTAATGGCACATCGAATCATTTAAATGTAGGTAGAGCATATACAGCATTCTCAAAACCTTTTCAATCAAGAGTCTTGGAGTAGTTTGATATATGAAAAGACTGGTTAGCATGTTTTCATTGACTAAACTCAATGAAAATTAAGCTTATTTTGTGTTCAGTTACTTGACATTGACATGACTATTTACATCATTGTCCCCAGTCTTTTGGTCAGAAAATTAATATTCACAACCTCTCATCAGAGGTTATCTAAAACTCAATTTCACAGAAGTGTAGTTTTTTTTTATCCTGTTTTGTTTCATTTGAATCATTTTTTTTATGGCAATGAGTTAACGAAAGTCATAAAAAATGAATAAATGTTTGTGTAGCACCAGTTTTTTTACTTCTTTCTACTCATGACCCCACAGATTTATCTTGTGAGTCCTTGGAGGTTCCAAGAACCCCACATTGGAAACTATTGGCCTACGTAATTTATCTTATAAATTCAAATCTTGGCAGTGACTCTGTGTTAGATTTGCATTTCTTTGTAGTTGTTTTGTCTCTTCGTGGTCATTTTGTGTCTTCTGTGACCTTCAAGCAAGAAATATTAATAGTCACATCATACAGGGACGCCCTGATGTCTCAGGGCTGTGCCCGGTAGGCCCATTTGGATATACATCTATGGCTCAGATAATGGATGAGAAATCAGTATAAACCATAATGTGAATTTGAATAGTCCTGTTCAGTTTTTGTCAGTATAACTGGTTGGTTGCTATTAAAAATGGTCTCTACCTTCTAAAGTGAGAAAACCTGCTGCTGAAGAAATGACTAAATAAAGTAGATGAGTGTGCTTAACTTGAGGTCTGAACATACACAGTCAAATCAGATGTCCTTCAGCAGACTTGTAACAACAGCTGACAGGAAACAGGCAAGACATTTTGTGTGTGTGTGTGTGTGTGTGTGTGTGTGTGTGTGTGTGAAGGTCTGCTAACATGCATTTGCAGACACACATTCTCACTCTTTTCCTCTCCACAATCCAGACCAGTGAGCTCATCATCAGTCATGTTAAGCATAATGTAATTCCACCTCACAATGAGGACCGCCTAATGCGCAGACAGGAAGTTATTAATGATATGGATGGGAGCCTCTGTGGGGTCATCGCCTCTTTCATAGTGGTGGGTGACAAGGTTGAAGAAGTTAAAACCCTATAGGGCATTAAAGGTTCCTACTCATTTACATTATGACCTTTTGTCTGAAATTGCCTAAATTCTCCAGTGTACTGCTAACTGAAGTCTCCCTCATTGATTTTAGCTTCACATTGATCTTTTTGATTAGCACATGTGACTCAAAACTCTGTGGTGCTCTGTATTGTTGTTGTTTATACTGTATATACTGACTCAAATCATACACTGAGTACAGTATATTGCATTTATTATGTAATATAGTTTCTTCGTACCATAAACTGAATGTAAACAGGTCTACAGCCATTCAGTAGCATGCTAATAGGCTTACAATGATAACACTAAACATGCTAATGTTTATTAGGTATAGTGTAGGATATACCATGTTCACTTCTTAAGTGTTAAGTTAGAGCATTAGCTTGCTAACATATTTCAATTAGCAATAAAGACAAATTACAGCTGAGGCTGATGGGAATGTGGGAATTGCTAAAGTCAGAGGAATTCAAATTAATTATTGCCATTGTGGTTCGTTGTGCTGTTCACCTGATACACTGAAACTTTTGGTCCCCAGCATTAGAATGTTTGCACAATAGTTGATGAGAGATTTTACTAAAACCTAATGCTGGCACTACAGGAAAACTGAGGGAATTGCTAAAGTCAGAGGAATTCAAATTAATTATTGCCATTGTGGTTCGTTGTGCTGTTCACTTTCCACACAACAGTGGCAGCGGGAGTTGTGCGCATTCACGAACTATCCTCTCATTTTTAGGAAGAGGCTCTCTGGTTTTATTGTTCTAAAATAATTAGACTATTTGGAGTCATGAGGGGTGCAAAGCTAATCTAGAGGTACCCAAGATTAAACATTAAATGGCTGGAAATGAGCAAAATGAGCATGGCATGGGCTCCTTAATATTTAAGAATGACTAGGCTTCAGGAAATTAGCTTCTTTTGAACACACTTGTCCAAACTTCCTTGAAAAGGACACTTTCTTAGGGCTGATGTAGGTTCAGAGTCATCTATAATGAAGTTCAGAGTGTGAGAGAGTGGCCAGTAGCTTAATACACAGTATTAACAGTTTTCTCTGATGTATTTGTTTCAGCAGTGTCAGACTACCAATCTTGTATTTGCATGTGTCATCTATGAAACTGGTGAGTAAAATATTATCATGTCCCACATACTATTAGAAATAGTTACATGTATTTAAAAAAGACATGGATTACAAAAAATGAGCTTTTTAAAATTGTGAGATGTTTAATTCCGTAGAGGTATCCTGTTTCATTTGAATCTTAGGAAGTTGTTTGTGTCAGACATATATCAGACCTCAAACCCTTTCCGATCTGTACCCGTCGAATAGGTTTTGATAGATTGGCTCTTGAAATGCTGCATGAGCCATTCTTTTCTGTCCTTTGGGATTTAAGCTCTACGCCCACCTGCTCTTGGTGTCTCCTGCATGTACAGGAGGGCAATGTAGCATGGAGGACCTCACCTGCTCTAAATGTCCACAGGGTCTCCTGGGTGTCTTTCTGAACAGCAGGCAGTGGTGTTTGTTATTCTTTAAGTATTAGGACCCAGGAGTCCTCTTCATCCTCCTCCTCCTCCTCCTCATGCAGTATCACAGTGCACAACAACGGGATTTATTCTGCATAAAAGGGAAGGTTTGGTTTTTTGTGTTTTAACCAACAACCTTCTTCATTTAGTCCTTAATATTTAATCCTTAATTAATGATATAAAAGGGGTGTATCTGAGATGATTTGACAGCTTTGATTAGCAGCCTCATACTACGGTCCCACCTTTGGTAGCTACTGTGCAGAATCTGGTTGCAAAATGTGTCACCAAAGTAAGATGGCCACCCCCTTATTTGCAATATTTTAGGGGTACATCTCATGTCTCTAAGTTGTTTCCCTTACTTGCATCTTTGTCCTGCCCATTTAAGATGTGAGGAAAACCTGAGGAGAGGAAGGAGAGAGAAGACTCAAGGAAGCATGTTATTAACAACATGGGTCCTTTCCTCAGATCCTTCATCTGAAGCGTTCAGTCACAAACAGATTTTTGATAAAGGCGCATGCCAGTTCATAAAAAAAATTTGCAAAGGAAGGTCTCGTGTATCCTCGGTCATGGCTCCTCCAGCAGCCTCCTCTCTCCTCAGTCCTCAGAGCCGATATAAGATACTTGGAATGTCGAGAGGATCAACTTCTGGATCAACCGAGGATGTGAGAGCAATCTTATAAGAGACTTGAGATATACTCTTGGTGAATTCCAATTCCCTTATTTTATCATTCCTTGGTCTTCGATCATCACTCGACCTGGAAGTTGTTCTGGTCCACCATGATAAAGGACATCCCAAAGCTTTTTATTTCCTCTCTCTCTCTCTCTCTACCTTTACCTCTGAGGAGTGATGACTGAGGAGTGAGGGGGCTGCCTGGAGGAACTATAATCGATGACACAAGAGTGCATCCTTCACAGAAGTCTCTTATGGATTGACAAGCCTCTTTCCACAAACTGGAAATCAGTTTGTGATTGGACGTTTTAAATAAGGATTGAGGGAAAAGAAGTCTCAGGCCCATTAAAACATTTTTCCTTGATTCCTCTCTCCTTGCATCTTACATGGGTGGCACTAAGATACAAGGAAAAGACATAAGTGAAGGAAGTGTGGATGCAATTAGGGGAACTGGGATTCACCTTCTGGCTTCATAATTTTTCGTCCATCGCATCGTCCATCTTTAAATACAGTTTATGGTTGTTGTTAGAAAACAGGATTTGATGGAAAGGGCAAAGAGCAGTTAAGA